AAGAAAGAAAGAAAGAAAGAAAGAAAGAAAGAAACAAAGAAAGAAACAAAGAAACAGAAACAAAGAAAAAAAGAAAGAAAGAAACAAAGAAAGGAAGGAAGGAAGGAAATGATGTGTTCAAATGAAAATGTAGTGGAAGATCTCCACATGTGTCCTGACAGAAATATCTTTGGGTAAGAAAATAACAAATGAGTCCAAATACAAAGCAGTTTTGTAGATCTAGGACTTTATTTTGACCATAACATTATGTACATCTAACTCTTTTTAAAATGTTTCTTCCAGACCTCCACTATTCCTAAAGAAAACAAAAACGAAAACAAAGACATCTACTCTAAGATTCTCTGTCCAGCCTCTGGTCAATTGATCTTCTCCCCTTTCTCCTCCTCTTCTTTCTTCTCTTTCTCCTCTTTTCTTCCTCCTCTTTTGGCTTCTTTCTCTCCTCCTATCCTTCCTCCTCCTCCTATTGCTTCTTTCTTTTCCTCCTTTTTTCCCCCTCCTCCTACTCTTCGTACTCCTACTCCTTCTTCTGACCAACATCAAGTGCTCAGCAACAAAGCAACTGCAATTCTGAATTGGCCCGAGGAAATGGAAGCGAGAACTTTCATACCGGTGATGTGCTTATTCAAGTGTACTAAAAAGAGCACTCTTTCGACTGCTGCGTGATCCTAGCAATAAAGTAGGTCTGATGCAGATACCTGGCTGCTGTGGCATATGAAGTTGTATCGACTTGTCCTTCTCATGTACCTTTTGGAATGCATAGTTTCAGGGACAATTCTGACTAGTCTTTGCCAACAGCTCCATACTGAGACACAGGAGAATTTCAGAGGAGTTTTGACACAAGAAGCTTTCAGCTCTTCCTGTTTTCTGTGTCAGTGAATATTCTTCAGTAACCAGGCTGACTTGACACACCTGACCACCACTCATCACGGTATCTGGGGAGGGATGAGATTTTCATGATCACTATATGGAAACAGCAAGCTCTTAGTCTACAGAAAAAGCAGACCAGGTAACAGAGGGCTAAAAAAAGAAACAATTTTCAAGACACTACAGTTCATGAGATCAAATGGGACAAAGAGTAGCTGTTTACACAGTGGCTGTTTTTATACCTCCAGTCAGATTTGTTTAAATAAAAAATTAAATTTTAATTAAAATTTAAGGAAGGAAAAAAAAAGTAGTAAGGAGGATTCTGATTGCCAAGATTGTTTTTGTTGAAATGGATCAACCAAGAAATGGAGAGATTCTCTTTCCTTAAAGAATAATTTGCAGTTTCCAGTAGAAACCATTTTATCCATGTGTGAGAAATGGTCTGTTTATAATGCCAACTAGGTAGACAGATGAATGAAATGGCCATTGGAACCCAATTCTTTACTTCATGTCTACACTACACTGGAAAATATACTATCATGGCCCCTACCAGGGAAAACTAGTGCATATGTGTTTAATGCAAGTACATGTTTTAGGCATCAAAATCCAGCCCCTCTGCTTTCTCTCAACCTGGACTATTCAGCCTGACATTTAAGACCATTTGCTGAGTTTTTTTTTTTTTTTTTTTTTACCCTATCCCGCTAGTTCACCACTGTCTTTTGCAGACTATCCCTCCTCTCAAAGCTACTCTTCCATGATATGTAATACGCACACTCTGGTCCTAGGTTTGCCTTGTAGAAGTTAATTCTGTCTATTGAGAAAACATCCATTGGGAACCAGCAGTTAGCGTAATGGCTATATCGCTGGACTCCCATGTAGTCGACCATGGTTCATGTCCTGGACCCGGTGGCTTAAAACTCACACCGGGTGCGTGTGTGTGCGTGCCCAAGATCCCAAGAGGAGAATGGAGGAGAAGGGATTGCGGCATGACTATCCCCCCTGAGGGGTGATTTCTCGCTTTCTGTCTCTATGTCTCTCTCTGTCTGTCTGGTGAGCGCATGCGCCCTATAGTGAAAACCTCTCAAAAAAAAAAAAAAAAAAAAAAAAGAGAAAACATCCATGAACACATTTTTTCCCTCCCTTAAAACTTTTAAAGCTCCTAAGTCTCTAACTGACATTTCTCCAAAGATATACAAATGACTAATAAGTGTATGGAA